GCGGGTGCCATGATCATGCCGCCACAACAACAACAGCAGCAGACATTACCGCCGCCGCATCATCACCAGCAGCAACAGTCGCAGCAGCCGCAACCGGTGGGAGCGCCTTCGGCGCAGCATCAACCGTTGCCGGCGCACATAGCTGCAGGTGCACCGGCCAATGGTGCACCTTTTCCAGCGCCGCCAGTTGTCCCTCCTGCAGCCGCTGCGCCGCCAACACCGCCCGGCGAGCTGCCTGCACCTGTTGCGCAAGCTCAAGCGCCCACGCCAATGGGTGAGTAGAGTGCCGAAATTCAAGTTAGAATGATAATTGACATGTTTGTGTTTTAGAAACTACACCGCCAGCTAATGCAGCACCTGTTGCCGAGGTCGCCAGCGTGGCAGCAGTTGCGCCCAGTACTGCGCCTGCTCCAAGCATTCCAGCGGCAAGCGTTCCTGCTGTTAATCCTCCTCCTCCTGCTCCTTCATCTTAAAACTATGTGTGTAGGCATGAGAAAAAACTTTAGTTATAAGTTGCACGCTCTCAGTATGTATTGTATACTCTTCCCTCCCGTAACCCAATTGTCTGTTCCCACTTGAAATCCCCTCATTAGTGTACTTATATATTTTGTTGTAGTCCCCTTGTGGCGCCTGCTCATTTGTTCTGACTAGGCGCCCTTTCAATATTTACACAACTTTGAACCAAGTTTCAAACCGAAAACTGCATTAAAATAAAGTCTATTCAGATGTATGAAATTGAGCAATATTATTTATTTAAATGTATTACAAACGACAATAATTCGTTGATTTTGTCAGCTTACGTCGAGTAATTTGAAAAGGATTTGGTAGAACACGATATACATATGCATGTGTATACATATCATAAAAAGCACTATGATGATAACGTGCTTGTATAAATTCACTATCTTATAATCTGCCGGATTTTCTCAAAAAGTCAAAATTGATATTTAGTTATTTTGACACGGTCGGAAGGAAGGAAATGATCAGAATTTTATATATTTTACGATAATATATTTTACGTTTCTATATTTACTTCTATTTTACATTTGCACAACTTCACTGTATTTTTTTTTCAATTTTCCATAGGAAACGAAAAAGATCTTATATTCGGGATAATCAAAATAATTAATTTTCTATATGCGTCCGACTTCGATATGCGTGTTGTAGTTGGCGGAAGTGAAAGTGGAAGTGTAAAAAATAAATAATTTAAGAATTTGAGGTCTTTAACATGCATAAGACTAATAGACGAGTCTTTTAATTTGGCCTATCTAATCGATCAACTCAATATAAACATTAATAAATTCAGTTTCCAGACAATTCAATTTTTAGATTCATTCACAATCGATATCCCCTAAAAATCTAACTTTAGGTAGCATAGTCTATACACTACAAAAAAAAGGTGCCGCACGCATGCGTATGGGCCTCGAAAGAACTTAACATGCAAGAGTCCAGTTCTGGCCGCACTCCTGTGCTCATTGGAAGGTTGTGCGTCGTCTGAGTATATTCGGTCGCTTGGATGTGGATGTGTGCTTGCCCAGCTCTTCGTTAGAGTGTGCACGCTTGAGATTCTTAGGCGTCGCCGTCTCGGTTATAATTTTGGCCCTGCAGCCATTGGCCATGCATATGCGCGGCATCGCCTCCGGTGAGACGAAGACATTCGTGTTATTGCCGTTGCTTTTTAAGCGCATTTTGCTGCTGAGCTCCTGCAGTGGCCACTGGACAAAAATACTTTTATTTCCGGGTGAGGATTGCTCACAGTGTAAAGCACAAGCGTACTCGGCCATGCGCTGCACATAAACTCGATTGTAGAAGGTAATGATGTCCGTGTTCGGCTGCCCATCGGCAAAGTGCACGGCTCGATAGATGGCACTTTGGGCGTGAGGCTGGCGTCGATACTGTTGAATGATATCGCTGAAGCTGATGCGCAGCTGCCCCTTGCGCACGCAGAGGTAGATCGCGCACATGAGCAGCTGGTCGAGGTGACGCTCCCGCAGCAGCTCATAGCCATGCACAATGATGGAATGTTCTACAATGTGCCAGATTTGCGTGTAGCTCGCCAGAAGGGATAGACACTTGCAAAGGTAGGCCAGCCTTTGGTTGGCCAGGTGATAAAATTTGCGCAAACAAATGTTGATTGCGCCAGGCGCAGCTCTTACATTCTCCTGGCCCGAGCTCGATTGCACGTCTTGGCAACGTGGCAGCCCCGTGCTGGCATATATACGCCACAGCTGCGAGTTCTTTTGCCAAATCAGCGAAGTCAGGCATTGGGCTTCGACGTCATGCAAATGCTTGATGAGATCACGTGTCAGCAAGCCGCTCTCATGTCGCACAACTAGCTCAATTATCTTCTGAAACTCATAAGCATCAATGTTAAAGCATTTCAGCAGCCAGGGAAACTTAAGCTGCGGCTCCTGTGCCTCAAAAATATGCAGTACCAGCTGCAGGCAGCAGGCAATGAGTGCGACATTAAAGGTGCGCTGCAGCTGGATTAGTAGCTGCGCAAGTTTGATCGTTGGCTTGCGACGCAGCTCGGCACCAATGATCTTATCCAGCAACTGGTAGTACAAGCCCCTAACCATGTTAAATCGGCTGTCAGTTGTGTTCGTGTTTAGATGCGCTGCACTCTCAAACTTGTGGCACATCTCAAGCAAAGATTGCTGCAAGAGCTTGACATCGCTCTTGCCCAGAGCACCGCTTATGTAAGTGGCCATCGTTTGCGGCAATGCGTCAGTTAGCAGCTTGGTGAGATTATCGCGCTGTGTGTCGCTTGTAAGCTCAGAGATTAGCTTGCGGTTTGCTTCGCTTACGTTATTTTGCTGTTTCTCTTCCCTTAGCGCTGGTTCCTTGTCTGCTGAGGACTGTGGTGTGTGCTTCAAAAGTACCCGCTCGTCAATTTCGCTGATATCCGAGACGTGCACAGCGTAGCTGCGATTCAAAGATGCCAAGTTCACCTCCAAGATGCCGTCTTTGATTAGTTCGCGCATAACCCGATCGTTGCCCAGCAAACGTTGATCCATAAACAAGCCCATCACAGCCTTGTGAAAGAAGGCGTTCTTCATGATGCGAGCACCCTTTGCTGGCAGCTCCGGTATGAGACCGCATATGGCATCCATGGCACTGTACTTGTGCAGCAGATCAATATCGAAATCTTTGTTGCACCATCTTGGGGGCACGCCCTGAAACGCTGTGTTGATGACATCTGATTTGTAAACCTCAAGCGCATTCACATAGACCAGTTCCAGGGCGCAGACCAGCACCTGGCAACCATTGATTATATTAGTTGTTGCAAACGGGGGCAGCTCGTTGCGCACCACCAGAAACAGCAGCCAGCCAAATTCATAGATCATTTGGTAATGAGCACGACTGTCTGTTGTCGCGGGCAGCACATAGAGCTGCTGAAAGATGCGCTTGTAGTGCTGTAGAAGAAGTAGCGTGATGCCGAGTCGTCGCTCCAGGTCGCTCACTTCCTGCTGAAAGACCTCCCCATTCTGTGCGAGCCAATTCCAATGCTCCATGCGCCTTAGAAACTTGTTAATGTTTATACTAAAGCTGCGAAGCAGTTTGGTCAGCGATATGTTCCAGCTTTGGCATCGCGCCTTCTTATCCCATGGTTCATGGTCATCTGCTTTTGTGTTGTCCACTTCTTGCCGCATGTCCTTCATTTTGGTCTGTTGCAGCTCGCTGTAAACAGCGCAGCAGAGCCAGTCGTCAGCCTCATTGGATAGGACGCCATCAACGTTTAGTTTATGAAATGTTTTCATAGCTTTTTGCCAAATATTCTGCTCAATTTTTAGTTTCTGACAGTTTGCAACGAAGCGCTGAAGGATTGTCCCCTTGTCCTCGATCTTCATCATTTGTGGGCTGCAACAAAAAGAAGATAATGTTTTAGCTGTACACCGCTTGTTTTTCTTTTTAATATTACTTGCCTTTGTATATAAAATTGCTCGAAAAGTTCTTAATTCTACGTATCTTTCGGCGCGAATATCAAAATGCGACGCAGCACGGTAAGGTTGGTCACACTGTATTTTGTGATGCCGCCTGTCAGTCCCGTTTCTTCAAGCAATCAATTTGAATATATATACTCAATTCCATACACCTATGTATTATAGAATACTTAGTAGCAATTTCTTTAAAAACTCTTAAGCAACGATGTTCTAAATTACCTACACACAGGTTATCTGACCAAATGACATAAAATGTTATGCATGCGCGGGTTCTACTGCAAAAAACAAACTTTAAAATACTTGCAATAATTATTTGCTATGTTATGGTCCTGTTATGGCTCTGCTACAGATAGCCTTGGAGGTCACTTTGCACTTGTTAAATTTAAATTCGCGACTTCTTCACAATTGTTATCGGAAATAATTTTTTCTTAGAAAGTTTTTGGGTTTAGTAATTATTAACACTATTTTACAGTGAACTACAATACAATGCATTGCAAAACAGAAAGATTAAGATTATAGTAAAGTGTAAATAAAACATGGTCAAAATGTTAGCGCAACAGTGAGTAGTGTAAAAACAAGCGGTACTTGGCAACTCTGTTGTTTTATTGCCAACTTAGTTAATATGCTGCAATCAAACCGTGTCTTACAAAAGGAGCAGGCTGACTTATATGCCATAGAAAGGAAGCTAGTCAAAGTGCTTCCAGTTGTTCAGGAAGCCTTGAATTCCCTTAAGGTAAGGGCATCCACACAGACGCAATAGTTTAATGAACCTTTCCTACTTTCAGGTGGAGGAGCTGCATTTAAAATCTCAGTCGGTACATCGAACGATGTCTATGGTTCCATCTAGTTCTAACCTGAAAGTTGGTACTGAATCCTCTGCTCAAAGCGTAGTTACACCAAACGAGCAAATTAACCGGCAGCAAATTGACTTGGAATTATTCGGAAGCGAGATGCAGACGTTTGAAATAGAAACCGATTCGGACTAATCAATTTCACAGCTGTTAGTCATTTATTGGTATGAATTTAGCTAAGTTAAAAGAATTCCAAACACAAATGTTAAACTTAGATTATTTTAAAAGAAATTAATTATGACATGTTGCAATTTTTTGTTAATCTGATGAAAGCACTCGGGGGGAAAAAATAAACTAAACTACTAAAGCTATGCTATGTATTATACGCATTGATACAGTTATTATTATTCGGGCCAACTCTACGCATCTTCGACACCGCCATCGGACGATTCATCCGAGCTATCGCGCCGTTTCTTCTTCTTAGGTGATGAGTTTTCCTGCTCGTCGCCGCTGTCACTGCTTTTGCTGCTGGAGCTGGAGTCGTCATTTTCACTGTTGCTAGAGGAACTAGATTCACCATCGGAGGAGCTGCCATCGTCGTCTTCATCGGAACTGGAACTATCCGAGTCGCTGCTGCTGCTGCTTGAATCAGAATTTGATGATTCTGAACTGCCTTTCGAGCTATCTGAAGAGCTCGATGATGAAGAGCTGTTGTTGCGCTTTCTTTTACGCTTAACGCGCTTCTGGCTATCGAGACGTACTTCAGTGACGGCATCTGGAGAACGTGCCTTACTGACCGCCGTAGTCTCTGCGGCGTTCGCGCTTTTCTCAGCTAAATGTTTGCTAAGCTGCTTTGTGCGTGAGCTGCGGTGCACGTATTTTCGTTTTTCCTTACATTCGTAGCTCCAGTGTCCCAAATTCAGACATTTCTGACAGCGAATGCCGTTTGGAAAAGCAGCGGCCAACTTTGCGGATCTGCGTATAAAATGCTCAGTTACGTTTCTTTTGATTATTTTGTGTTAAGCTTACCGCTGCCTTTGAGCCAGCTTGCGGGCTGCCAACCCCACCAAAGTCATCCTTATATAATAATCTCTGAGACGGTTTTTGGATCCAATTTTGACAGAGACTTATAGAAACGTGTAGATAGAAAAATGTATGAGCTGTAAAAATGGTTTTGGTACTATTTTGTTTTGTTGTCACACACTGAGTGTGGCCGCAGTAGTCTAAAAAGCCCTAAAAATACCGATTATACCAAAATGGTATTTAATGGTATACTGTAATCGATTACGAAGTCGATAACATTAAAACATTATTTCTTGCAATTAGTTGTAAACAATTTGTTATAGAGTTATTTGCCTGCAAATATGCTTTATTGCTACATACCACATTAGGCAATAATATAACATTGTTTTTTGTGTAATTAAGGGACAGGAAGACTCAATTTTGCCTTACAAGTGCCAAGATTTGTTCAAGATTACCCAAAACAATAACAAAACCTTTTGGTGACTAAGAGGCGAAAGCTGAAGTCCAAGAGACAATTGCAGGAAAGCAGGTAGAGGTAAACTGAGCACTCTTTCGATTGCCTAATTTGTGCATATTTATCATTTACATAGAATCAGCTCTCAACAATGACCGAAACGGATGCAGCTGTCAGCACAGCGGGGACAGGGGTGGTGCCAGCAGCTGGCGCCCGATTTATGCCGCCCGAGGAGCTAGCCATGCAATCGCTTACCAAACAGCTATACAAATCGCGACTTTTTCGAGGCATTTACCTCGAGCGTTGCTTTGTCGAGCAGCTTGGTGGGTATCGCGATGTTATAGCCCTGCAGCGCAGTGAACGTGATCTGGAGAAGCAGTTGCTAAGCAGCGCAGCGAAACTACAACTGTTTTATCAACGCTTCGTGCCTAACATGTGGGTGGGCATTACCAAAGGCAGCGTGGGCAGCTATAAGCATACACCACATCCTGCACAGCTGGACACCTGCGTTTGGACGGAGCTCAGTGATTTGGCATTTGGGGAATACTGGTTCAGCATTAGAACACTACGGTTTAGAGGTCAGGAGGTGCAGCTTAAACTGAAAATGATCCGCGCAGTTGAGGCAGACTCAACACCGACACTACGACACTCTCAATCGATGAAAAAAGGCAGCCCCAGCAGAGCGCTTACCTCTGGTGTTAGTGCTGAGGCAGGAGGAGCTGATGATGTCGTCAGCGAGGAAAAGCGAGCGCAAATCGGTCTGGATGATTTTCTGGCTGTTCTACAGCAATGGCGTCAGTCAGTTGTAACGACTGTGTACGAATTTATGGCCAACGATGTGAACAAGCGCAATATAATGGGCACCATACGCTTCTTGGGTCTGCTTATCTTTTCCATATTGAGCGGCGCAGTTGTTGCGCTCCGATTCATGGGCATCTTTGCGGTGCGTTTTCTTTTTGAGCTTAGCCGATTTACACATACCGCCACACCAATCGTCTTTAAGCTGATCGAGTTTTTCAACAAGATTGTCGGCGCTTTCTTTATATTGATAGCGATGATATGGAAGGATTTGGTTGTAAATCGTGGTGGATCTGCGCCCAGGCAGCCACTTGAATCAAGCAATCATTTCAAGAGCATTACGTATGAAAAATCCGAGTCGCATCGTCGCAGTCCACGCTATGGATCGTCACATTATCGGTAATCTTAATTGAATTGAGTAGCTATATCTATGTTGTCAAAATTGTCTAGTGGAGCTGCACCTGCATTTAGTCACTGGGGGTAGGGGTTCAGGGCATTTCCCTTTAAAAATTGTGTTATTAGCATTAAAATATATATGGCACTCAGTCCCTTGGATTTCGTAGATGTTTGTTCCTCAAACATTTTTAACAAGAGGTTTTTAATATTTTAAGATTTTGTAATTATTGGGCAACTATGTATTTAGTATTTTAAACAATCGCATGCTTATTAATTTTTAAATATTAATTCAATGTGTATTGTTTTCCAAATTGTATAGCCTGTCTAGTAAATTTTATTAAATTTTTGTGAATAAATCTGTTAAAAATGTATCAAACCATTTTATTTAAGAATAAAGAAGTATGTTTTAAACATACACATATCCGAATTGTTATCAAGATATACGCTGTGGGCATTACGTATATATAGAAAAGCAGTTCTACAGGTCTGTGAAAATATTTATTCAGACTGCGTCCGATTACTTGTTGACCTGAAGATTCTTTATACCCAGAACAAAGTTTGTTTTAAAAAAAATGTAGCATACATTCTCTACCCCACATGTTTTTAGTCTGAATCTAAAATGTAAGCTTCTCTTACAAGAACTTTAAAAATGTGAATAATCAAAAATTAGCCATATAACTTAAAAGGGCGAACTGTATCATAAAGATTCTATATGATCCATCGGTAAAAAATTAATTTCTTAAAAGCACAACTTTTTAATCAAAAAAAAGAGGACGGTGTTTCGGGCAATTCCACCAGCATGTGTGAAAAAATAGTTTGAAACTTTTTGTTTACCATCCGATCGGCCTCACAATCATTTTCAAAGATCTTTGTTCAAATTCATTTGAGGCGTGTTGCACACTTTTCGAAAAATACATTCCTCCTTGGTGGAAATAGGGGTCAAAGATTTGTTGGGTGACGATTCGAGTTTAATTTTATTTCCAAAGATCTATGAGAAAAATAATTTGAGACGTGTTTCACCCTTTTTGCAGAATCCAGGCTTCCTCGGTGGAAAATGCGATTCAAAGAATTTTGGGACTAAGTTTTAAGTTTTATCCGATTGACATCCAATAGACAATAAGATAACATAAGAATACGTGTTTCAGCGATTTGGGAAATTCCACACGCAGCAGTGGTAAATTGGCGAAAAACGGTTGTATGCTAGGTTTTTTGTTTACCGTCCGACCGGTTTCAAAGCCATTTTTAAAGTTCTTTGAGAACATATATTTTATACGTGCCACGGGCAAGGCCGGGGTATCTGGGGGTATACTAGTTAAAAATATAAACTCCCTGATAATAGACGCGATTGGACGCCGAATCGCGTAGGATACACATTTAAAAAATAAATGTCTTATTACTAAAATGAATAACACCGGACTAAGCAACTAACAATAATATACTTAAAATTACTTATTGACCCCGCTAAGGCCCATCGAGATGACAAAAAATACCTTAAGTATGTGAATAAAATAACGGCTTCTTTGTTTTGTTAGTTTTAATAGTTATACACTTTCATTTTATTATGTTACTTGATGTTATTCTCATTAAATTGTTGTCATATATTTATGTATTTAAATATGTAGACTAGTATAATTTGTCGGTTTGTCACTAAATCTTATACAAATGATCTTCTTTTCGTGTTTAGTTTATTTTGTTGCCTTGTTTTCCAAACTTTTGCATGGGGTTTCGTGTACTGGTACTCCTTTAGTATGCGCTCTAAATATAACTTGAAATTCAATTTTCTGTGGCATTTTATGGATATATTTATTTATTTCTCGCTAACTTTAAGGTTTTTCAAATTTTATTATAGGCCAGCTCTTTTGTCTAAATGTTATAAATTAATAATGTCCGGTTTTATTATTAGTCAACTAAATAATATATTTTTTTGTGATACATACATATACTCATTAATATATGATATTGTTATTTGTTTAATTTATTTTTTACGATGTTATATTTATGGAAATTACTGCGTGTATGTTTCAACGTACTTTGCTCATAACCTTTAATTAACGTTTTTTTTCGTATATTTTATTTTCAATAAAAAGCCTGTTAATTGTTTGCAGACAATAAAATATGTGTTTCTTAGTTGTTGGTATCTTATTTGAATTTGATGTACTGTAAAACATGTCAACATTTCATTATTTGTCATTCCTTGTTAATATTATGCGTAAGTAAATTTTGTTTCGTGTTAGTTAAATTATGCTTAAATCGCTTTCTATAGTGCCGCCAACTTGTTGAGAAACGAATAAATTAAATTCAAATTTTAAATATGTTTAGTTTTACTCTTGCTTGTTATTGTAAATACTTTTCATTAGGTTTAAAGTAAAATGTACAATATACAGTTTCAGTGAAATGTCATAACGTGTTATCAACTTTTGACTTTCAAGTATCAATATAATCTGCCATTATTAACAAATAATTACACATTTATAGCGTACGTTATACTTTATTTAACACGTCCTTGCCTGCTGAAAATAATTTTTTTATTATTATTTTTTTAACAATTAGTTAGACATTTAGAGCAAAAACATTGATAATATAGATTGTTTGCTTTCTTTTTTAGTTTATGCATAAAAATTTTTCTAGTGAAATATATATGTAAATATATATATTTATAAAGGTTTTTGAACTGCTTATTGTTTATAATTGCGGTTTTGTTATTTGGTTTCTTTTTGTAAATTGCCATGTTAATTTTATTTTGTCAAAAGTGTTGTCTGATTTTAATTATTGTTTTTGGCATTTATATTATAAGGAATATGTGTGTGGTGTTGGTGAAAAGATCGGTAAACTCAGCCTAAGGTAAACGCAATACCAATATTTTGTTTTTCAAATACTTCTAATATTCTTGCCTGTGCCTCTATATATAAAACTGTGATAAATTTTAAACAAATATCATTCAAAAGACATGCGAACAATTCGTCAACATACTTGATTTAAAGTAAATAAAATTTAAGTACCATTTGAAGTTCATATATATATTGTAAAGAAACTGAATTTTTTAAAACAAAATTTTGCAAATATATTTTATAATTTTATTGATTTATATATTTTTTTATGGTTTTTATATTTATATTTTTTACAGAGTACATATAGTGTGTATGTATATATATATTTATACATACAAGCTGCATAAATATATATATATATATATATATATATATATATATATATATATATATATATATATATATATATATATATATATATAGTATATGTATATATATTAATTTTTACACATTAAATTCAAATGCATTAATTTTATCTGTTTCTGTATATATATGTATATGTATATATATATATATATATATGATTTATTTATAAATATAAATAACAAAATGTTTCCCTTTGAAGCTTTTTTATGTACCATTTTTGTTTATATTGAATTTATGTATTCATTACTATGTTTAAATACGATTTATACGCTGCTGCTTTCAATTATAGTTTAACCAGTTTCCTGTTTAGCTTGAAATTTTGTGTATGTATTTATATTTAATTATAGTTAACTGTTTGCCATTTTTCGTGTGTTGAACAATTGGCGAAAGTTCCCGACTCGTCACCTCATGTGACCAAAAAATGAAAAGGAGAATTCGACGCACCGGATTGATTGAATCATTACATAATGTACTTGAGTTTAGTGTCTTATATCATCTTTAAAAGTAACTGAATAAAACGGTTTTGCTTTTGTTAACTGCCAATGGCCAGATCTCAACCAACTTTTCCAATAGGAATCGAGGCAAACTCTATTTACATTTACGAACATTTTACGCCAACACTAGAAGAGCGTAAAGAATGCCTCGTCTCATTGATAGCCCAACATGGTGCGTTTTAGGCACTTCAAAGTTCTGTTGAAGCGGCGATTGGATTGGTTGGGTTTCGGGTTTCGTAACAATAATGAGAGTAATCAAATAATGTGTTTATAAAAGAGAAACAAGGGGTAGAAAGGAATGGAAAGAAACGTTAAGTTATAAACTTAGAGCCAACTTAGAAGAAACTACGATATAAGCTCTTAATTACTTTAAATCATCGGTATCCTCAATTAAATCAGCATACTCCTCCCAATCGTTGTTAGTCGAACGTGTGCGCAAATTTGATATTTTCGGTGTCTCCTCATCCTCCTCTAGTTCCGGCTCAACGCCGTGTTTGCTGCGACCACCACCAGTGCCGCCCTCGTCGACAACCTCGTAGTCCTTGAGCTCAGCTTCCAGGTCCTTCTCCCATTGTTCCTCTGAGAAAGATTTATCAAACTGAAGATTACTATGTGTGTGGCTTACACGGGCTAATAGACAGGTTAGGTTACATATAAGTTCATATAAATAAGTTAAATATAGCATACATTGCAAATCATGTTATATTATTGATTATATATTTTAATGTGTGTCTAGCAAGCATTGAAGTTTGGTATTTTGTGACACTCCAAGCAAGTACATGGATTATTTTGTTCATTCTTTCTCATTTTCGTTTACCTTAGACACTTCGTAACTAATCGCGTGGCATATAACTAAGGCATAGGTTTTCACAGACTGTAATTCGTTTTGGTATGCGCACCGTAACTGAAAAGTAATCGTCTACAAAAGGTAAAAATGTTCTTTTAATATGGTAATTAGGCCAATACAATACAGTTTCCCCTCAGCCTAACTGATTAACGAATAGCGTGCAAAACCCGCGCACCGCACCAGTAAAGAAGTGAACGAAGTACCCTATTGCCATGACTTGCTTGTTGTTCTAACACCAAATCGAGTGCCAGAGGTGACACCGAATGTAGTATATAAGGTATAGGTATACATTTATATATGTCAGTTAAAATGTTTAATAGTACGAAAGTAAAAATATTGTGTGTATTTACAGCATATGTAACATCGAAATTAAAAGCAAGCTAAATATTTGCTATTGTTTTTACAAAATTTACTTATACAAAGCACGCCAAATATATAATAAAAACTAACTAAAAGCTATTTAAAAATTTACAATTATTCTCGAAAAATTAATATCTTATGTTTCTGTACAACAATCAAATTTGAAAAATGTCTGGGTATACATATGGACAGACTGACTTACGTTGTTAAGGAAAGATACATATTTTTGTTTGGGTTTGTAATTCTTTCTTTGGATTTTGTGTGATGAGTTGGGTTTATTACGAATTCGAATACACATTTAAAATCGGATTGTTTTCTATAAAAAAAAAAACCTGTTCACCTTTGTGCAGTTAAAAAGCATTGAAATTTTGCATTGACAATAATTGTAATTTTTTCATTTCAATTTTGAAAAGTTTGTTTTTTTTTTGGGCATTGCTTGGAATATGCAAAAATACACGAAATAAATTAAGGCTATGCTCAAAGAAGGATTGCATTTACTTTAAGGAATTAATTAGCAACTACTTATGCAAATTCTATATTTATTTTTTTTATTTTATAAGAAAAATCAAAGGAACTTAACTCAATACGAATAGCAATAAACACAGAGGCAGACAATATTATAATACTTATATGGACACTCGTATGGACACAACAGAGATAATAAATAAACTCGAAATCTGTGGCAACTATTTTGCTGAACACAATTTGTATGCAATTGAAAACAACAACGAAATATTATAAAAATTTTGTTTTAAATTTTTAATAATTTTTGTATATAAGTGAAAATTGGAATTTTTTAACCAACAATTTCTAACTTACCACACAAAATTTTGTTTCAGTTATTAAGTAACATTTTTGTTTTTTCTTTCGGTTTATATAAATAATGCGTTTTGTTTAAATGTTTGTCAAGTGAATATTTATATATATATATATATATGTATATAATTTGGTTTGTTGCTTTTGGTTTTTGTAAATCGCTTAACAATTTGTTGTATTTTTTAGTTGTTTTTCTGTCATGTGGGTCTTTTATTTGTATGTATTTTATTTTAAGGTTTTTTTTTTTTTTATTTAGCGTTTATCCATTCAATCTTCTGCAAGATGATTTGAGAATAAATTAAGAAATACATGAAGAAAAATAAATGCTTGTTAAATGTTTTCAATATAATTCATATTGTGTTTAATACTAAGAATTTGCATAGATTTTTTTTGGATTTCTTTTTTAAAGTTTTCCGTGTTGTTGGTGGTTGTGTAAAAGAGGAAAACGCGAATTGTGATTGGGTATACAAATCTATACTTATTTTGTTTTAAATTTAGCCGAAATAGTTGGAGAAAGAATATGTGTAAAAACTAAAAATAAATAATTCGAAAATTGATAAATACAAAGATGTTGTATAGCGAAATTCAAGAATTTAATGGACTTGCAATTGAAAAAGCACAAGATTGTAAAGAGTATTTTAATAATAAGAATTTGTATCATTTTGGTCATACTCAACTTGTTCGAAATTGATTTGTGGCTAGTTAATATTTAAATCATGTTAGTTTGTTATAGTTCATAGATACTTAAGTGGAAATTATAGAATTTTATTTAAATATTTTGTATGCTAGTTAGAAAAGAATGGCAACAACAGTTTAGACTGGACTTTTAATGTCGGTTTGTGTTATCATATATATATCATATATATATAAGTATATTGATGATTATATAATTTATAATACTTTGTTATCCGTTAGATGCCATAGGGTTTTGCATATACGTTTTATGTTTTGTTGTTGCTTTCATTTTAATTGATATTTATTTTTTAATAATTAAATGCCAGAGCTTTGGTTTGTTGTTAGTATAGTTCGACAATAAAGAAAACGATTCGGCAAAATGTAATTTATACAAAAGAAAGAAACAGAGCAGAGGAGAAAAAAGAGAATTGTTTGGTTTTTACACTTTGTTTTGTACACACATTTTTTGTTAAGAGTTTTTATTTGTTTTTGTGTTTTATTTGAAATATTAAATTTTGTCTTTTTTTGTGAAGATTGAAAAATAAATATGCACATTAGATATTTGATTAAAGTTAGTTTATGTATGATAAGAAATGAAAATTAAAATTCGCACAGCCAAACAGTTCAAATGAGGCAAGGGCCGAAAAGCAATCAAATAACAAATACGGATAGACACAAATAAAAAGTGAATTCATTTATGAGACGATGCAATGGAGAATGAAATGATCTAGTATAGACTATATAAGTTCAAATAAATGAATTCTTCAAATAAACATTATGTACGGACACACAAATCGTGAGACTTGAATATTTTAGACACGACTCAATATAACGACTCGTAAATAGCTACATTTATGTATGTAAGTGCCATTAGAGAATTATAATCTGTGTGTTGGCAAGCTACGAACCTACAACCTATTTAATTTTCTAGTATTTCCGTCTCTTATCAAAGAAATATCGTCTATTTTTAAAATGAATTATCACAAAATGTTTTTATGTATGTGTATATTTTTGTATGTGTATGTGTTTGGCTAGATGCAGTGCCAACTGAAATTTGTAGAGTGATTTGCTTAGGAAAACAGATTTCACAGAGGGCACAGCATAAAACCAAAAATGTATGTACAAAATGTTAAAATTAATAAGCGGAAACAATTTTAAATCAAGCTTGCTCGACTTTTTTATGCCCTCTACTAAGGATTGCGGTATGAGTATATCAAATTTTTTGGAAACTTTTCTAGATAGCAAAACCTTTAATTTTAAAAAGAAAAAAAAAAAACAAAAATATAAATATAAATATACAAAAGTATATGTGAAATATTTTGCTTTTGATTTATATTATTTAAACGACATTTGTATGTACTTTATTGAAATGATTTTGATTTCGTGCTTTTGATTAGTCTAACCAGCAAGGAGAAATAGAATATGGCGTTCATTAAAAAGGCCAGAATATGATGGGGATTTCAGAGATATTTCTCTTATAAAGAAAAATTTAGACGGACGATTGGGTCTACATTTAGTTTTTCATAGCTACTTTCTTAGTTATTCAAAAGGCATAAAGGGCATAAGTCTGAAGAGGCAATAAAATAAATGTACAAACTTAAAAAGGAATAAGTAACATAAATTTGAAAACTTAATCAATAATAAAAGTATTACCCATAAATAATTATATTACAAATTAATTAATTCATAGTAAAAATTGCAGACTAAGACCTCTTACCATCGCTGGCGGCAAGCGCCTGTTGGGTCATGCTATCAATGCCCAGCTTGCGCATGCCATCTTTGATTTCGGCCAAATCGGTATCATTGGATGTTTGAAATTCATCCGATACGAACTCGGACTCGGAGATTTTTTGGGTCAAAGCTTTCTTGTCCCTAGTCATGAGCTCTTCGGCAACCACAATCTCTATAACAGGCTTGGGTTGGTCAGAGACAGCGGCTTGAGCTGCTGCTGCTTCTTCTGATGGGGAATCGGCGATTGGCCCACTTTTCGCAGGGCTAATATTTTTATTAATATCATTTTTATCTGGCAATTGTTTACATGCTTTTTTATGCATTTCAATTCATCACAGTTGAGTTTGATTGATTGATTTTTGTGTTTATATTGTTCACAATATCGTTGTAATTTTGTGTATAAAAAAAAGCAAAAATCATGAAAAGAAAAATAAAATAAAAAATTAAAGACAAAATTAAAGAAAATTAGGCCAAGTGAAAGGCGAATTGAGAAATTGAGTTGATTTTTGATTATCAATTTTAAAGAGCTGAACGCGCAACGTGGTGAAAAGTGAAAATGAGAATCTGGAGTGAAAGGAAATCGCGTCATTAGCACAGGCGACAGCTGCCGGTGCAGTTATAATTATAATAAGAAAATTAAAACCGAACCGAAGGTAAATAAAATAACCTAAAAGGACAGAAACTTAACGTTGAGAGCTTACTATAGGCGGTGTAATACAGACTCTAGCCGAAATTGAAAACAAAGAACTAGGGAGCTTGGAGAACTTTAAGCTAGTTCGAAAATAATAAAAGAACAGGCGCGTGTGTGAAAAGAATCGTTTACAAAATCAAAAAAATTGAAACTTAGACTTAGAGAGAGAGAGAGAGAGAGAGCGAGGATAATAGAGTTTGATTGAGAGCTTTAAATAAAAGAGCGCGCGAATAGCGAGTGTTTTGTATGTGTGTTGGAGAGAAAGAGAGAGTTCAGTAGAGAAAGTTACGGAAGAGGCAAGCGCAAGAAAATCAAAAAATTGGGCAATTTAGCCTCCTTCTGCTCCAGCGCTTAATTGTGTTCTGTTATTGGGTCTTCAGTGTGATAGCTTATAGATGGGCAGTAACCGAATATGAACTTACCATCTTCACCGCTGGAAGCCTGGCCCACACCATCAGCGCCCAAAGTGCCCAACTCGGCGGCCTGAATGATTAGTGAGACCCTATAGAAATAATTTCGCCAGAAGTTCTCCTCAGTAATGCTGCGCGGTGTTGAAGGATATCAATGAAAGTAATTCGAATTGGTGTAGGTTATGGCTACTCACATCTTGGGCACCAGCTCAAAGCGCATCGTTTCGAGCGCCTTATCCTCGGCCATAATGGCTATGGCAGTGGGATATGCGATGTCATAGCTAAACTCAAAGTCCACGCCGGCTGGCGGAGCGCGCACAAAGTTGCGACGATCCTGTGATAATCCCAAAATTTCCTCCTTTATCTTTGTCTCATTGGCATGTCCAATCCAGGGGGCGGCACCATTGCCAGCACCGCCTTGACCCTTAATGAATGCCTCCTGCTCCTTATTGAACGAGTCGAGAATGGTCTAAACACAAAAACACAGGTAAAAGATAATGTATTTTGAACAATGTTCAAGCATCTCACGATTTTACTCACATTATCCTTGACTGTTTCCTTGATCTTGCTGCCAGCCTTGCTGATGGCCGATGACAAGAATGATCCAAAATGTTTGGCCTGTTGTGTTACTTTTGTGGTAACTGTTGATGTGATAAACATTTTAATTAGTTTAGTTCCTCGGTATAGATACAAAGTGTAAGTAAAAGTGGTTGCAAATAATTAATGCAGTCAACCAAAATCGCTAGGCTAAAAAGGAAATTGTTTTTGGGTGTGGGGTTATCAAGGTTTTCAGCTATGGGTAAATAAATAAGTGTGTACTATAAGTTCGAGGGCATATTAACTACGTATAGTACTGAAAGCTGATTAGTAACCTGTCACCGCTTTCTATCATTTTATTCGCTTTTCGTTTTGGCATTGCATTGCATTTGAATTTCTTGTTTTTTAAGGTTGACATTCAATTGACATTTATATAACTTTTTTTTTGTTACCAATCAAACTGTGACACGTACTTTTCACTTCATCGCCCTTACCCTGTCCAATTTGACCCTCATCGCCAGTGGGCGTGCCGCCGCCCGATGCTGGATGCGAATCAGCGCCCTCTGTAGCACTGTAATTAGAAATTGCGTCAGCGTGCAACATAGAGAGAGAAATAGAGAAAAAAGAGACAGAGAGAGAACAAAATAAGCTTGTGTCAGATTTGTGGTCGTGAATTTGGGGAAACGTTTATACATAATATATACATATATATAGGATATCTAGTGTGGATATTGCAGTTCAACTCATGCAGCATGCAACATTAAAACCGACCAAATGAAATTCGGCAGAAATCCTATTGGATTCGTTCAGCAACAGAGATATTGACTGAAAGTGCGTGCGATTTAAGTCCGAGTCCCTAGCTTGTTCGGGTACTAAATGTAGTCATAGACTAAATCAATAGGTTCTCAAAACAATTATTTGTTGGCCATTGGATTTTCGAAAAAGAACATACATAAGAACTCGTTTTTAAATTTCTATTGATGTTATACACATTTCTTGTGAATTAATGCCTGATTTCTCATGTTAATAAATATTAAGGTCCATGTTAATTAAGTCTGCTTGGTAACATTTACAAGGTAGGTTAAAGCCGCCTTGTACTACACTGATTAGAGAGAACTTCAAATTGTTTTTACGTGTCTGCAATCAAGCATCAATGAATTTAAATAGGTTACACAAGAATATTTATTATTGAGTAATTAATTGTATTTAAGTTCTCGGTGACGATTTTAACTAATAAATTTAAATGATTGGTTGGATAATATTTAATAATATGCACACATAGCTTCATTTGATATTAAAATGACCAACATTTTGTTTTTTTTTTCTTTTAAGATCTCAGTTATTAAGTTAGCCTATGATTAGCTTTCAGTATTTGGTTTTTGTATTCACATTAACGTTTATGTATATTTACACGTTATCAGATCTTTGTTTTTCGTTTAAGTTTAGGACAATTAATATTGAAATTATTTATGTTGATTGTCGATGCAAATGCAATGTAAGTAGATAATTCAAATGAATTGTTTATGAAGGGATGGAAATTATATAAATGCATTAATCGGAAATGAAGAGGCCAAAAGAGAACACACTAAATGCATGCACTAACACTTGGATCATCTCTAATGAATATATTTTCAGATCAGTTCTTGAGTTTTTCTTCTTTTGACATCAAGTGACAGAGAAATCTAGTAGAGCGCACACTTAGAGAGCATATTTGGAAGGAGCTGCCAACGAGCTGAAAATTATATAGTCTCTACACACACAAAATTGATAAAAAAGTATAGCGAAAAAAAGCGAATTACTGACACAGGATGAGCTACACATCGACACTGAGAAATCAGGGTGGCATATAAAAATATCATTGTTTACTAAGACGAAAATAAAAATGATAACAACTAGTTACAACAATTAGTTTTTTTTTTATCTACTGCGTTGCCACAAGAATAGTTCCAGATTTTAGTATGGGTTTTGCTTAGATCCTTGAGGTTGTTTGATGGGCCGCTCAATAATGATGGAATCTGATACTTGAACATTTCTGTCTCTACTAAATGCTATACAAATTGATTTTATTTTTATACAACGCGTTACGAAACGAAATTATGAAATGAATCAAAGTGTGAAATCAACTAATGATGAACTTGGAATATGTTGTAGGGGGCATGTGTAACAGCAGCATGAATTCAAATTAAGTGATTGTATAACTGGATGAAGAGCTTTATGAAATGGTTTATTTATGTTTCCGTTTCTTAAAGAACATTTTTAGAATCTAACCATCATTGTGTCCCCTTACAAAATGCCTAATTTATTTAATTCTGAAATACAGAATGACTTACCTTTATTCTTGAAAGTTGTAATTAATATTAATCTTAAAGTATATATTAACACTTTGTTAAGGGACAAAATTGGTTTTGATATCCGATCGTTTATCAATTCGCCAAACATTCGTAAGTTTCTCAATATATATTTATATATATACATACAAAAACGTTTAAAAAGTTATATATGTGGTTTGTATTAAGGTATTTGTCTGTACAGTTTTAAGAGTATACGCCTTTAAGATAAAGTTATAAAGAGTGAAACAAAAGTTAGAACGAGTGTAAGAATATGAAGTTCAAGTTTAAACGGAAAAACGTAGAGGCTTAAGTGAGCAACAGTAATCAGTGATATTTTGTATTTTATTTTAAAAGCTAAATAATTATTAGAGGAAAATTCGTGAATATATTAAGCAAAACTAAATGTCAATAGTCATATATTTAAAGTAACTTGTGTTCAAAACATATTCTTATGGTTTTCTGGAAGTATTTTAATGTAGCAAGGTTGGTAAAGGCTTGTGTATAATTAATTTAGGGCTTCTTTGAAATTCAAAAGTTGCCTTTTTCCTCAGGGTGTGAACAAAAAACAGACGAACAATAGCCGTCAAGTGAGTGAACGTTGAAAGACAGGTTAGTTTCAAACAAAGGACGCAACAATTATTTTGAATAAGTAAAAAAAAAAAAACAAAACAAAAATTATGAACTAAAATACAAACGCGCTTTTATATAAGTTTTTTCTCTTCACTGTTGCAGTTTCTTTTCGTATATAATTCCGTCATTCTTAAGCAGGGGCCCATACCTAATATACCTCGACTTGTCGTCATCATCGCCAGCACTCACAGCACCCGCAGCATTGACATCTGGAGCACCTTCGCCGCCCTCAGCTCCATCGGCAGTGCCGCTCTTACGCAGTCCGGGAATCGATGGTATTGATGGCATCGCTGGCATCGAAGGCATCGATGGCATTGCCATGGCTGGCATCGATGGTATCGAAGCATTGCCCAACCAGCCCTTGGCGCTGCCTAGCCAGCCACTGTAAAAGAAAAAGTTAAGTTAATAAAGTGCACGAAACTCTTGGACATTGCGCAATAATCAGACAGCCTGACCGACAGCCAGACAGATAATCAATCTTGCCGTAATTTGACAATGTTCATTGTTTGGATGCTCATGAGCGGGCCCAAAAATATCTATATAATATGTATTTTGTCAAACAATGAGCAGGCGAGTCAATTTGACAAACGTTCACAAAGCCCACTTCATATAAGCACATACCCTTACAGGGTGTCACAGCAGAGAGGTAACTCAAATTCTTCAAAAAATATTATAGCAACAAGTTAACATGTACCTATTTATGCATGCATACTAGATCGGAGTTTGTTGTAACCCAATTTTAAGCGTCGAGAGCAGTTCCTAAATTTGCATTATATCTCTTTCATTGGCATTATCGTTAACCAGGATGAAGTAATCAAAAAATCTAGAATTCCCTTAAAAAAAGCATTGAATATTTAAAATTGGAGCGAATTAAACTTAGACTTTTAACAAAAGTTGTTTCCTTCAACGCCTGTCAATTTCTTCTGGGAGTGTCTAGTTGAAAAAAGCGATGGCAAGTATACGTGTCCAATTAAGAAGTGTGTCAATATTTTGTATCTTATAAAAGTCGCTATAGAAAAGGCCACCCCGTACCTTTATGTATGTAATTCATATAACTCGAAATCAATTAAATATTATTTACTTAATATTTAGGTCACACACACACTAGGGCTGCACTGCCCTGACACCCTATATGCAGGATGTCGGCCAGTTTCTGTGTGTGCAATTTTCCTACGTTGATAGGTCTGCGATTTATTGGATCAGCCATTTTTGCAGCCTTTTCCTTCCTTTGTTATGTGCTCGCTGTCATAAATAAAATGACACTGACAAGCTCATGTAATACGTGGCGTATGCTTAATATGTGCTTCGTGAAACGAAAGAGCGTAGAATGTAGAAAACACATCATCAAATAAATTCGTCTTTGCGCTAAACTTCACTTGGGTGTATGAACGACTCGTCATTTTTCTAGTACATACATAGAATAAACTAACATTTACAAAAAAAATTCAATACAACCATAAAATGGACGATACTGAGGACTATTGTGCAATTTGTCTGTGCCGCAAACATCGCATTGTAAGCACCCCATGCAAGCACACATTTTGTAAGCGCTGTCTCAAGAAGGTCTACGATGTCTGCCCCACCAAGGTCTGTCCGCTGTGTCGAGCTCCTTTCGAGTATTATATTGTAAGTAGTTGGCTACACTTGACGGACGGCAAACATCCAATTAGGCAGAGACTGCTCTATAAACCCCTCTAATTGGCTACTTGCTGTCCAAGTTGAAACTTTTTCAATTCCATCTAATATATATATATATATATACACCTATACCACAGCGTGAACGTGGCTCTGGCATAAAGATCGTATTTTTGACATAGTGGCCTGTGCCAATAGTCGAAGTTGACAATAACTGTCTAACCATAATGTTTAGTTAATTAAATTTAGCGGTTTTTATATTTAAATTCCTTTTTTTTTGGTTTTTCCATTTTTGGTTTACATTTGTTTAAATAAAGTTCATGTTATTTTTTTAGTCATTTCATGAGACTCTGAAGGACTGCATGTTTTCAAACTTCCGAATTTTAACTTTAATTAATTAGTTTGAAACCAAAAAATATAATGAAATCAATTTTAAAACAGAATGATTTCAAGAACACAATTTCTTTGATTGTGTTTATGAATTGACAGAACTTTTCCTAATAAATGGCACATAACTTACGCCCAGCAATTCCATATGTGCGGCAGAGCTCGCATGGTGCGGTCTTGATGTGATATGATGCAATTCGATTTATTTATAGGGAGCTTGCATTGAAATATTGAATGCTTCGGCAATACAACGCGCAAGTATTGTCGAACACCGTGCTGCCACGCCCACAGCGTCGTTTTAGCTCATGCATGCAAAATATTGATGATGCACACGTTAGAGCTGTGAAGGATAAAGGAAACGACGTCAAATTGACAAGCAAAGGCATTCTGTAGCCTAGCCATTCTATTTTATTATTAAGCTCCATTTGCGCATTGACAAGGCAAGGCCAAAGCCAGGGCTGTAGCATTATTATAATGGGTACGACACCTCCACACCCCAGCCTCCAGTTGGAATACGCAGACGGACCGACGCACAGAAGCAGCCGCTTAATCAGTGAAGCGGCAAGGACTGAATTCATTTGTACAAAAAGTGGCCATAAAGTGACGCAAGTTAATTTCATTGCATTGCAATATTTATTGAGTCACGCTGTGTTCAGCTTTGTTATCGACGGCCTATACGATCTATTAAATTATTAAGTGGAAATATGGCATATGCCAGTCGTATATAGCATGTATATAACGTATACGCCATGTTGCGCTCAATTAGCCATATATAGAGTTCATTTTGCAGCTGGTTTTGTAAAGCATTTCAAGGCAACTTTTACGGCTCCTTGTAGCTGATAAGCCTTGTACAACTATCATTAGCATTTGCCAGCTCGTCCCACCCTCGCCACCCCTACCTTTTGGTGTGATTTATGGGTTTTGGGGGCGCGACGCTTTTACGCAGTTTTGTTCGCCTGACAGGCGGCAACAGTGTTTATTTATGGGCCGCCTAGGACTATCCAACATCCGTATAATGCTGCCCAGATTCTGATAAGTGCCATACTTAAATATATCTCTTTCTGAGTTGAGCAGAGGCATCAGGGTAACAAAACTTAAGTAGATTAAATTGCTAAGACATTACATAATAATATTTATTTTTTTACTTTCGAAATTACTTTAAAAATTTCTAATTGGCCACAAATTGCTTCTATACATATGCCTACGTTTGTTTTAATGTATTTGCTGCGTTCAAATTAAACATTTAAAATATGTGTACTGCGCTGAAACCTTAGGCATCTGTCTGTGGGACTAAATTTATGTACTTTTGACTTTCCATGCTGTACATTTAGTTCCGTGTAGGAAAAATATTTTGCGTATATATTGCTGAACAATTCATATATACGCATTTGCTTGTTTCTTTATTTTTTACTCGATTCGCAGCAGAAAGTTTTAATTATAAAAGTTTGCCGCAGCGTTCTGCGGGTAACCTAGAAAGCGCACAGAAAAATAAGACGGCATGACTAAAATGAAAAGTGTAAAAATGAACTCAACTCACACGGTCATGGAATTTTGACAGGAATCAATGGTTTTTAACTTTCAGCTATGGATCTTCTCTGGCTTTAAATGCGCGACATTTTGAAAAATTAATCATTCATTTATTTAAGCCCTGACCAACTCAACTCAAGTTTTAAGTTATATTAGCACTGATTTATGTTTGATGATCTAAGTTGACTAAGTTATACTAATAAATCTGTCCTCAATTCGCAAAGTAAATAAGGGAAAACTAATTATTGGCATTTTTCCTCCTATTCGCTATTTGCTATTTGCGAATGCCATTTGAAGGGTAGTCTATTATATATATCTATATCGCATTAACACGAGCATTCTATATACGTATATATGTACATATGTATCAGCAAACACTATTTGAGTAATATTACTAGATAGCCATTATAAGCAGGAAATATGAGCACTACACAAGAATTTGTAAACTCTTTTTTAATTTAATTTTATTCTTTTAAGTTAAAAAATACAGCAGAGCAAAAACAACTTTTCTTAATTTATTTTTAATTTAGCATTGCCAATATTAATCGCTGTCAGTACATTTTGAATAACAATGTTTTATTCTTTATATACTAAAGAATCTTTAAATGTTGTTTTTTAAAATGATAGGAACATTAGTATCTGTCGTGAATGGTGCGTTTTGTCAAAATGACTTGAAAAACAAGAAATTTGTCCTTACAAAAACACAATTTCCTGTTTAAAGTTCCTATAGCAGCTGTATGATGTGCAGCAAAAAGGCGAATAAATGAATGTTTCAAACATGTTTTTAGCTTTAACTGAACATTAAAATTGCATAATATTCTGGATATCATATCCTCGGGAGCACCCTTCTATCTGTGATATGAACAATGTGGTTTATTAAATGATTAAATGTTTCAGCGATACAAAATTACCATTAGATACTAAAAACAAATTTGTTTTTTTTATGTTTCTAAAATCATGACAACGCCAAGGATAGCAACAAATTTAAATGAACAAATATGCAAATTGGAGTCAGTAAAGCGAGTAGCAAGCTGCAATATGCAATTGCAGTTCCAGAGAATCGCAAATGCGAGAAAGCCAGAAGAGTATGTCCATGTGACAATTCCCCTATGGAATGAAGACCCCTCCCTCCCTCAGTGTCTCGTGCTTACTGATGCGCAAATTGCGTTGCGAGCCAACGCAGCTTATATGGCTTTTATTTTTCAGGAGAACTGGCTGATTGCTTATCGCCACTTTTTATGGCTTTTCGCTGGCAAAAAACAAATAGCGATAGCCACCAGAGACGGGTGAGATGGGGGCGGGGGGTTGGCTTTGTTGGAAGTGGTAGAGTTTATTTCAATGGCTGTAAGTGCTATTTTTAATTGAGTCTGTGTTGAGAGTCACGCGTGGGCTCGTGCTGTAATTGGATTGCATTGGCGAGCTGAGATTTCACAAGTTTCCATTTCAAAGGCGCCAAGATGCGCAATTTTAAAGTAAAGTCAAAGCTTAGGAAAAACCACCAATCCCCATCAACGCCCCCGTTGCTATGTTAAGACTCTGATGTATACACGTGCACAAAAACACACCCCACCTCCCTCCCACACACACACACGCGCCCAGCATATTTAGGATAAAGCTAAAGGAAATTTATTGCATTTGCGCAGAAAAATAACACTTAATGCGTATAAAAAGCTAAATAATATCACGCAGTATAGCAACCAGTCGGGTGGTATGAAGCTGAGGCTTTCTGCTTAGACAGCTTAGCAGGCCACACTGTGCGAGGGTTTTGAGAAAAGTTAACAAACGATTGATACTGCGTCTGTATCTTAGCTTTCATAGGTATTTTTTAAATTAGATATTCAGAGGGGGGCAAGGGAGGAGACCCAGCCCGGAACTTCACATCTATTTTTATGAAACTTTCATTTTTTGACAAATATGACAAGCCAAAGTTTGCACTAAAAACCAAGCCTAAGGGAAGGGAGATGCTTCGAACCGTGAACCAAATCACCGTCTCTAAATACATTTTAGCTTATACACAAAAGTCTTCTTTGAGTTGAGTGCAAATTCACAAAGTGTGGAATGTACTACTAATTGACTTTACATTAAATAATTTAAATGACAAAGTGTACCTTATAAAGAATTCAATAGAATCGGCCATTTCACTTTGGAAGTTTAAAAAGGCTGCCTGAACAGGAATATTTGATGAATTCGCACAATAAAGAATTCATGTTTTCTGTAGTTAGTCCGATAACAGCCCATAACTTTTTGTTGCTGCAGGCCGAAGTGAAACTTGACTCTTTAATTGACTCTTAGGCAGAAGCTGTGTCCACCCTTTTCCCTTTTTCCACTAGGTGTGTGGTCTAAATGTCTAGCTATGACTCTAACTAGAGCTTGCTTCAATTGAAAAAATAAGGTTAATTTGTAGACTAGCTATAAAAATCATTCAGAGCTACCCTCGTTTGTCATGTGTTGCACGAGGCAAAGGAGCAACAGCGGGCTAAAGAAATGAAAAAGAATGGCAAAATCCACATTTGACAAATTACCAGCAAGCAGGTAAAAAGCAGGTTAAGAGACAGCTGGGGGTGTGGCTAGTAAATAGAGTAGAATAGGCCTGTAAGGGATGCAGCCCTCAAAGTAAACAGTGCAAAAAAGGACGTTATGAATGTGCCAGTCAGTAAGACGTTACGTATATATCTATTATTATGGCCATGTGAAGCTATTAATATTTTATGAAAAGCACATTTAACGCTTGCCAACTTCCAACCTCCCACGCGCACCGACCCTATAGGAATTATGGTTTTTGCTCGTCATATGACATTTGACTTCTCTTCTTTTCTGACTTCCGATTATTTTCTTTCGAACATTTTCTTGTATTATTATTATTTGTTGTCCTCATTTATTAATTTTGCGTTTTCCTAATTTCCCCTTTATATTTCCTTGAATTTATTTTTTTGTGAATACGCAAATACGACTTTTTATGTGCAGCCTTCGAAAAAGTGCGCAATAAAATATGCAGTGCAGCATCGGGAGACAAAAGGGAAGAGTTATTAGGACTTTTCCGAAGAAATTTGCTAAATTTGTTTACATGTTTTGGTGAAAAGTCAACAATAATATGGCAAGCTGCTTATGCTATTTATTTCTGAATGCATGAATCTACATTTAAATCAGCTGAGTCTACCATTGACGCAATTACGTAGCAGGATGGAACTATCGTCACACAATAGATTTATTGTACCCTCCTCATAGAGGGTACTACTCTTTTGGTTTTTAAAGATTTCTTGACCAAATTTGGCTGTTTTACCAATCTTCTTACATATGCTTAAAGTTAGCAGCCGACTGCTATAAAGTGTAGCTTTATTAGAAGAATCTGCGAGTAATGCATTTTTGATTTTTGACAAATCAAATTGGCTCTTAAGTTAAACTAAAAAGCTGGAAATAAGTTTCCGTTTAAGTAATTCAGACTGCTTTCGAAATGAAATGAAAACATTCTCTGACACAACCGAGCAGCTTAAAGGCTCCGCGTTAATACCGGGTATGTTTATGTCCATTAACTAAGCGACGGCTCATAATAGTTGATAGTAGCTAGATTGTGTTTCAGGGACATGTGCAGATCATTTAGTTGTAGCCCATGGCGCACATCTAATCTCGAAAAGCCACAACATAATTGTAAATAACACTGCCAGCAATTTGGGTATATAAATGAAATGAGCGCACCTCATCTTCAATCCCCGCTTGTTATATTCTGCCCTTCAGGTGTCGTCGACGCCCCACAATCCACTTAATATGATTGGTGTCATTTTGTCGCGGCTTTAACCTAGACTTCACATTTGCACAGCCAACATTTTATATACTCTGTACGAGGACAACACTGAGTTTGAGTCTTTCTACGCATAAAATGAGAAAATAAAATAATTATAACTACAAAAGGGCATCAAAAATTAAAAAGTTGCACAAATGTCTAAAAATATGGAAATCCAAAGGTTGCGTGCTAGTGACAGGCAAGAGAAAGGCTCTGAGAGGTCCTTTGGTTGTGCCTAATATGCCCGTGTGTGTTATAAATGCTCTAAAACTTTTGACATTTACTAAAGCACGCTTACACGAATACACAACACACACACACACACGGGGGTTATGTGCGTGTGCCTTATATGGCTTCGTTTGGTGTATTTAATTTTATTTTGATCTCTCTGCAATGTAATGATGTGCCATGGACTAAGCAAATACTTATACCTACACACACACGCACACACGCATCACGCTCGATACACAGCAACAAATAAATCGCATTAACGGCAGTTGATACCTTTTCTGATTTGTGCGTGTATTTGGATAATATGTCAAGAGCGCCGAAAGCAAGTTTCATTCTCATCACATTCAAATGCGCATAAATAACTAACACAAATACTGTTGGGCCTTGAACGCACTAATCTACTTTACACTCTTGCTGTATGAACATTGAAAATAAAGTACTTTCTGATTAAATATAATCATTGGATTATACAATTTTACACTAATAAATTTACACTAATGTAAATGAGATATATATCAGAAACTGAGTTTCTTTAAAATAAACTGAATAGATCTATTAGGTTTCAAGGCTAGAAGTCCAAAAAAATATTGTAGATTATTCAAAATTTTTAATAAATAAATTAAATGTTGTATTCATAATCTGATAAATTAGCGATCGGGGCTCAAACTGGTTCAGTTCAAAAGTTAAAATAAAATTAAATTAATAAATTAGAAACGATTTTGTATATTTTTTTAATAAAATTATTAAATCAAGCTTATTTTATTGTCGCATAAATATTTAAAAATAAATGTGAAAAAAAATCGGTAACAAATTATAAATAATAATGCCCATCTTGTAAATGATAACTATCATGAATTCTAATATAAGGGCGTTCTCCGCTGCCAGGGTAGGGTAGGGTATAAGAGGCGTTGTGAATGATTAACAATCAGGACTCTGCTTGGATCCATGGCAGCGCACTCAATCAAATACAAGACAGGACGTGCAAAAGGATGTGTACGGGCGCACGCGAGGCCAAATAAAAGGTGCAAAATGTCGAGGATTTTATGCGCATTAATTAAAGGCAAGCCAGGACAAAAGACGAACCGAAAGGTAGCACTCGAGTCCCGAACACAAGTGAAACATTTAGTATGACATTTAAGCTGATTGAGATGAATTATCATGAAATAAATGACCAAAAAAAAAGTAAATAAATAAATTTTGATCCATTTGGACCGTCATTGAGCCGTGGCTATGGTAATTTAATGCCCAACATGTGGGCGGGCATAAGCGGGTAAAGAGCTGCGAACTGTAATAGAATCAGTTGCGCTGGTCTGCTCAACCAGCGCTAGATTGCCCAGAATATAATTACAACAGATGGTAGGAAACCGAGCGCCAAGTCCTTGGCAGTCCCGCGCAAATTAAATATCGCCCAACGGGGATAGCGTCTAAAGTGTCATTACAAAATCTTGTTGCATACGCCGTGGCGCTGTAGCTGCCAGGCAAGCGATTCAAATGCGCAACTTTTCTTATGAGATACTGTGTGTGTGTGTGCGCGCGAATGTGTTTGTTTGAGTGTGAGTGTGTGTATGTATGTATGTATGTATGTTTGTGTGTGTGTGTGTGTGTGTGTGTGTGTGTGTGTGTGCGTGTGTGTGTGTGTATGTATGTATGTGTGTGTGTGGCGTAGCAGTAACATTCACAAGCACTTTGGCGCAATTAAAGTTTCAAAATGCCATCGGGACGCGGGTCCCATGGCAGCAGCTTTTATTTGACTTCTACAATTATAGAGTTTTTTCAGCTTTTGCCATTTGGAGGCTTAAGTGACTGCCGATGGGCATGGGCGCGTGTGGATTTTATAGTGTGGAGTTTTCCTACCATTCAGTTAATAGTTTTGTTTTATGTGTAATTCATCGTGCCGACATGACGATAACATGAGGGAAATAAATATTTAAGCTTATTTGAAAATAAACGAATTTAAATAATGTGAAGACAAAAATACTTTAATTATAGATAAACAAAAGGCAACGATTTGTCAGTCAGCCAAATTATTTACATGAAATATTTTGTGATGTATCAAATTAAAATAAAATTGCAAACTTACGTGGCTTCGCTGACTAATGAATCTACAAGGGAAGCTGATTTGGGTATGCTAAAAGAAGATATGTGCAATAAATAGAATTAATAAAATAAATAATAAAAATTAAAAAAAGGAAACTAATGCATCAAAATATATAGAAAACAACAAAATGTAATCTAATCTAAAGAATATATAAGAAATTATATTTGAAACGTTGTTGGATTAAAAAATACTCTTCAGGCGTTTTTACTTGATTGAAACTCATCTTTAAAATTTAAGTTGGAATATTTATCATATAAACATTTTACAATTCCCTAAACTTGTCTATTTATACCTTCAACTTTTGATTAAAGAACCTGACTTAAAAAAAAATATAATAACGATAATAATAATCATAATAATAAGAAGAATAATCATAATAATAATAAGAATATTGCAACACTGATTGTCAATTTAGTAAGAATATTACACGAAAATAAGCTAATCAAATACCTAATTATTCAAGCACTTTTCATCTTGACCTTAAGTTTAATATGCGTTTAGTTTGCCATCATATTTACCTGCAAAGAGGAAAAGTTTAAAATTAATAAAGATTGCATCGTTAACGATGGAAATGTTAAGAAATTAATTAGACATTTTACGTTAAGAAGGCGGGAAAATTGGGGCGAAAAGAAAAGGATTACCTAATGAGCGTACCGACCCGCTCCACATGCAACCGCTGAATGAATGCCTTTTAATTAAGTCTCGAGATATGATTACAAAAGCGAAATGATGTTAAACGGCGCTTCAACATGAAAGCCAGTGAAAGGAACTTGATTGTTTTTTGCACCACTAGTGAAGTTCAAAGTTCACACGCAACCTAAATGGGAAGCCGGCCCCAGAGTGCTGTAAGTGCCAATAAGCCCGAAGAACAAAATCAGGGTAAGACATAAATCTTTTCAAGCAGCCAGGCGTAAATCAAAATTAATGTGAGACCAAAGAGAAATATTGTTATGCTCTTAAAATGTGTGTGTCCAACGGGTATGGTAACTCGACGAGTATTTCAACAATTTGCCGTCAAGGACATTCACAATGTATCTTGTGTTTGTTCTGTTTTAACAATCAATTGATAGGAATAACAGAATCGAATCAAAGTAACACACACAAACTCACTCAGGTGCAAATAGAGAATAAAAAATTAAACTTGCAATAGAGCTGGAAATTGAAATGTGAATCGTGCTGACCTTGGCCCAATGCATGCGCCATGTTGAAGCTTGATGCCTGGGTCCTTAGTCCTGTGATAAAGCACTGAAACAAAACACGAACGACTGCCATTAAAGGGCAGGCAACAACTACAACTACAAGTACGGCAACAATAGCAAGGCCAATTTAATTCTATGCTGCCACAAGGATCGCACAAATAGAGCAAAAAATGCAAGGACTTTCACAATTTATGCAAAATAATGCCCCATGCTGCAGTCAAAGCCCTTGTTTTTTTCTATTTAATTAAACTCATACGAAACTCAGCCGCCTACGTAGAACGTAGTTTTTCAACTTGTTGAAGCCACAGCTAAACTTCAAATACATCAGTATAACATGGCATGCCTGTCTTTACAATGCTAATTAAGTATACGCCATGTACACGAGCTGTCATTTGATTTGTATTTGAAGGACAGAACAAAGCAATGATGCAATTAATGTAATTTAATTAGTCTGATGAGTTGAGCCATGTGAAAATATTCCAATCAACCAAATAAACAAGCAGGCGCCCTTAATGTTCTCAATTACAACAATGTAAAATTTTTATTTGATTCAATGAACAATTTCAATCAGTTAGATAAGCAATTAAAAATATTAACTTTATTTTCTATACAAAGAAAGAAGAAAGAACCGTAATTTCGGGCACGCCTTAGGTTAAATACCTTTGTGGATGTTTGGCTTGGAGGTGCGTTTATGAAAGCAGTTTTTCAAAAATTTGAATATTTTTCATTTGTCAACCGATTCTGTTTATAAGATTTTGATCATACGTAAGCAGCATCGTAAAACTCGCAAATGCCAAGTTTAGTTACGATATTTTGACAAACAGAGGTTATTTATGAAATACCTTAATTTTTGACCCATGACTTCTATAAAGTTATATATTATTGTGGACCGATCCTGCGAGACTAGTTTGAATAGAAACAGACAGACATACATGGCTTTATCGAAGCGGATATGCATACTGATCTAGAATAAATATACTTAATAGGGCTAAAGACTACTGCCATGTCATGACAAGAGAATAAAACCCCCTTCAAGGGCATACAAAATAGTTTATTGGCTTTGTGTAAGCGGCCTCTCCTAGCTAACTATCTATATGACTCCCAACCCGAATCTTGAAAGGTCACCGAATCTGAACATTTGCGAATCAGATGAATCCTTTCAGTTGAATTAAAGAGCATTGCGTAGTTGGGAGATTCTGATACTAATAAATAACAATTTAGTTAGTCTACTCATGTCTAGTTAGCATATAAAGTGGAACTATTGAAAGTGTCGTTAATTTATTCTCTTGAAGCAGTTACTTTTATTTCTTGCGGCTAGGACTGCAATTCATAGTTCATATGTCGCATGTATTAGGAAGAAAGAGAGATGCTGTTCAAGTTTTAAAGTTGACAATACCCTCTTCAACTTTCAGTGGTCCGGTGTTTTTTCAATTGCTATGCAAGCGGTATTTAGAGGAGGCGGGCTCCAAAGAGGGCTTCAGCTTTGTTGCGGTGTGTGCGCATATTTCATTAGTCAATTACAAAGCAAACAATTGACAGATGCTAAAGCAGCTGTCGCTTGCAATTTTCAATTAAAGACTGAGTGGAAAGCATCAGAGCTCATCCTGCATTATAATACAGCTAAGGTCGCATTGCCACAGGGCACGAAGGCCACTGCGCGCTAGATAACCAATTGAGGTGAGCGGTATCAGAAAAAAACATCTTAATGAATAAAGCAGTTCCTGAAACAATGCAATCCGATTAAAACGGAACCATGATGTGGCTCTAAGCATCAAGTATTTAATTAAGAAATGTTATTGCATTGGAATGCTGAGGGCACTACAAGATTGTTCTCTAGGTAAAATCTTTATATACAACTTGTAATTGCAGTCATTGTAATTGGATGACATGTTGGAGTTGAAATAAAAAGGTAAATCATTAATCTATTAATAGAAACGCAGATAATAGCACTATAAAAGTAAAAAATTTATAAGCATCAAAACTTGTCTAAAAAAGACAAAAGGGGAAAAACTAATATAAATTATAGAATTTTAGATATAAGGAAAGTTTATTAACTGTCCTAGCCTTAACTTTAAGCAATTAAAATTAAAAGAAAAAAAAAATGTAAAGCCAAAAATATAGTTTCTATTAATATTTAAACTATTTTTGGAATACCCCAAAAATTGAAGATTATACGAGATTATACGACACAACATACTTAGTATGTAGGTTATTGAATTTCCCAAAATACGGAAAAACTCATCCTTGAAGTATGTGTTTTGGTGTATGTATGGAAAGAAAAAACGAAGAGTTGCCTGCAATTAGAGACAGCTTGTTGCATTATATGAACATCTTGTCAGTTTCTTTATGAGAGTCACCATTTCTACCCGCTCCCCAGGCGGCCACAAAGTTAGGATGCCAAACAGGAGCTGTGGGACGCATTTGCTTGGCAGCACAAACGGCAGTCATGTCCCTATAAGACGGCAGGAAGTGGCTCGAAACGGAAATTGTGTTGGCTCAGAAACACGATATATGGAGTCATGGAGTTGCTTTGTGCGGCGGTCTCCAACGTTCACAACGCTGGAAGCTGTGAAATCTATTTTTATATAAGGGCAAAGGTCGTGCTGGTTCTCCGTTTGGGCTTGGCGCACGGAGATGCCCGACAGCCTGAAATTTTAATAAGTTTTGTCAAAAATATCGAAAAAGTTTTACAGCCTGATGATTGCCTGTCAAGTGCACAAACCAACAAGTCCGTAGAAGAGTTGCCACTAATAATTTAAGAGCTTGTCGGATAAGAAGTTGTGCTTTCTGAGTACCTGAAGACAGGTAAATAGCCTCAGGTGACTTGGCTGAGCCAAAAAGCTAATTTACTTGGGCGCCTGCTAAATTTATAGCTCAATCATGTAAGCAAAATCGTTTCGATCAATTGAGTTAACGCTGCAGCATTAGGCATCAGGCTAAAGTTGAAGTTTTTCTGGAGAGTGCTGTAGAATACGCCCGATTAGACTATACCGCACCTGGATTGACGGATTTCTCCACAAAATCAAACTGAGTCTCCCCCGCCTCCTTCTTTCTACTTCTGCGCTCTTATTTATTGGAGCGAAACATTGAAGTCAAGACAAGGGCAGCAATCTCTCCAGTTCGCAAAATAAAGACGGGTGTCCCCCAAGGCAGCGTACTAGTCCCCTTTCTCTACAATTTGCACAAGGCAGAAATCCTCACTCCGGCCGACCTGCACAATTTTGCCATCCCAGGCAAACACCTGATGGCCACATTTGCCGATGACGTGACAATATTTTACTCCGACCACCTCGAAGTGCCAGGCGGATAGATGGCAACTCTCTTTATCCTGGCAGATGCGCCAAGTAGCTTGGAGTTTTACTGGATAAGAGCCTTAGCTTTCGGGCGCACATCGACGGCCGGCTCAAGGCTAGTAAACCCCAACAGCCCATTGCCACATCGCTGCAAACGGGCAGTTTACAACGTCGTGGTGACGCCGACTTGCAGATACGGTATCCAGGTCTGGGGAATTGCGTCTCGGACAAATCAAAGACAGATTCAGACACTGTAAAATTTGGCCTTGCGCCAAATGACTGTAGCTGACAGGTACATCAGAAATTCTACCTCGCACGGAGACCTCAATATGTCCACCATCGACATCCAAGTCTGAGCATTCGCCAACCGCTACAGCGAACGCTTGCAGCGACACTGCAACCGGGTAGTAAGAGACTTCGTTGAGAGGTGTGTAGTCAGGAGGCTCAAGAAAAGATCTTTTAAGGACCTCCTTCAACTACGACTACGACGCCCTGCAGTCTCCCGACTGCCTTCGAGACGATGCAGCCTTATTCAAAA